ATCATTCTCAGACTGGAGCAGACCGTAGCCGGTAATGTGTAAATATATACATACCTCAGAGCAGTATTAATGTCAACTTTGATAAAAAAAATATTAAAAGACCCACAGGTGCGTTTTTGTGGGTCACGAATGCGTGTGTGGTGCCCTATTGCAACGAGAGCCCATATTGAATGTTAAAAATATAAATTATCATTACATGATTCGGGCTCACTTAAGCAAGTAACATAAACCTATTCATATAGCACACATCAGTGTAAATGCCACCTTTATCTAACTCGTACGTAAAAAATACCAGACCTAAAACGATGTCAGCGAGTTGAATAAATCGGAGAGGAATTGCGTCATTTTAATTCAAGACACGATTGAAGGTTTCATTATTGCCGCGTCTCAGGCTAATTTCTCACATAGAGAGAAAAGTTTGACACTAAAAATATTTTCCAATCGGATCATAGTTGAAAACAAGTGTACTACACTACAATTGTACAATTTTGAATGCTCATTTTACGACAACAAACAAGATTGCCTTTACCACATAGGGCATTTTGAATTCCTCCATGAATAAACATATCAAATTCTCACATAGTTTCCAAATTGACAGAACAAATTGTACTTATACTTCATCTCTATAATTTTATTGTCTCATCCACCCGAAAGATTGACTCACGTTATCGCGAACTACCTGCCCAAATGACACAAAAAGTCATCGACAACTGCGATATGCTCGCTACCTGTACGGGAGGTCGCTTGATCCGAACACACATGGTTTCGCGAAGAGCTCACGTTAAGCCGATTATCCTTTGATCTTGCTCCGCGTTACTCGTCCTTCTCTCATTAGGTCCATGGATTAAATAAATGTGCAGGAAGGATTACGGAATGAGTTACTATTTACCTACCCCCCACGCGCCCCCCAAAAATGCTCTTTTTATTTCGAAATGAATTTGTTTTTAACGCAAAGAAGTCCAATACCCCTTTCACGACTCGGTCATTGTACAGCATGTTGTAATCGATATTTAAAAAAGTTAATTTTTGTACCCCGCCTTTCGTGTTTATTGTGTTGCTTGCTTTCATCNGCCGATTATCCTTTGATCTTGCTCCGCGTTACTCGTCCTTCTCTCATTAGGTCCATGGATTAAATAAATGTGCAGGAAGGATTACGGAATGAGTTACTATTTACCTACCCCCCACGCGCCCCCCAAAAATGCTCTTTTTATTTCGAAATGAATTTGTTTTTAACGCAAAGAAGTCCAATACCCCTTTCACGACTCGGTCATTGTACAGCATGTTGTAATCGATATTTAAAAAAGTTAATTTTTGTACCCCGCCTTTCGTGTTTATTGTGTTGCTTGCTTTCATCGGGGACACTGCCTGTTGAGGTTACAATTACGTCGCTAGCCTATCTCCATAGGTTACTGGAATATATCTAAGTACACGTAAAGCTTTGTAAAGTCTCTTTTGTCACACATCATAGTTATTGAATTTTGTCTTGAATGAAAAAATACCCTCAAATTATCGTTTTGTGCTTAAACATTTCATAACTTGGACCGAAGTTTGATATACAGTGTACTGTAGCTACAATGGCATTCCTCAAGTTGGGTCTGCTGGGGGAGGGGGGCATTTAAATGATAAACGAAGAAGTCCACCTGTAAACAGCAGCGGTTTAAATGATCGCTATCTCGGTTCCTTTTTCTTTGACAGCATCATAGAAAATGTTAAGGGAGAAAGTCACACATACCCACGGCGTTGTTTTGTCTTCAGCATTTCCTCCTTCTTGCTTACTGTAAATATTATCGTCAATTAATGAAACCGAGAGAGCAATTAAATGATGGCACATTGAATGTAATTACTAGGTGCATTTCGCTGAGTGTTAACAAGATCTAGCGAAACATTTTATTTCAAAATAAATTTATATGTGATTTTACCTCGTTTGTGTTATTTCAAACAAAACGATTTCCTGCAAAGACCAACTTTAAAATGTATGTCTATTCAGCAAAATAATGTAATTTAATACAACTATGAGTAATGTATTTAATCTACGGCCGTATATGCGATGGCCATGTGGGATTATAATTGCATACCTTGATGCAAAACAGTCTATCGTTTCTTCCACCGCGAGTCCCTTTAATTAATGTATTATATTACTCTTTACCCTTTTTATTTGACACTGTTTCTCTCCCCTTTTCCTTTCTCTTGTAAGAAGGAGGGCAAATAATTAAGTATTCAAAATATGCATCACCAATCTTCAGAAAAGAATGAGTGAATGAACCATTGGGCTGGCCCACAACGTCCGACACAGCAGAATAAATTAAATAACAGCTTTCACAGATTTTACTGCATTTAGCTGTATAGTGTCACTATATACATAATCCGCTGCACGCGCAAAGCTGTTGAACAAAAGGATAGTTCTCTATGGAAGACCTTTTGTTTACATAAGTACTCTAAGGGGGCGTGCCTAACCAGGCGACAACAGGATTAGGCTAGTCACTATATTCCGTCAAATTCGTTTAGCGACCCTATCATTATCACACTTCCTCTATTGTATTTTCTGACGTTATAATTGTATCTGATCTTCTTACGTTAGATGGAATAAATGCACACATACATAATCTTATGACTGTAAGTGTGAAAAAATCAGCGTTTGTCCCATGAAAATCAAAACAAACAATTATTAACCCTTTAACCTCCAAAGGGAGTTGTGCGAAGATGCGAAAAAAGTACAAGCGGTGGGTTTCGCCTTTCTCTTCTTTCAAAGTTTTAATCTTTGCAGAAATTAAATAAGCACAAACCTTGTTGAAGTCTACAACTGATATTGACGCTGCCCAGTCATACTAATCTCTTAAAAAGTAAAATAATCTTATTTATCTAAACCAACGATATCACTTACTTCCCAACTTACTTACATGTACTGACTTATACATAACCACTTCATCCCATGAGGGACATGAAGTTGCAACCATACCCTCCTACTGAGAATTATTCATCAACATAAAATGTTTGAGGAAAGAGGTCAAAATTGCAATAAGCGTTACCCTATCTTCTTGCACTCCTCCGGCCACCATGCTGTTGATGACGTAGATGAAGGAAAATGCCTTGGCCAAGTAACTCTTTGTAAGTTTTGTCATCATTTCACTCTCTCCTATACCAGGGCTGTCCATTATGTAGACACCTCCCTGTAAACAAATTTCTTCAGATGTCCATAATAGGCTTATCAACATATTTCACATTTGTTAATAAATTGTGAACTTCTTTAGCAGTTGTCACATCATTTAACTGCTATCATGTATCTAAAGCCCCATTTACACTGGACAGTGTCCTCTCTGCGTCCCGTAGTACAGTTTAAGAGTGAAAAAATACTTTGCGTGCCGCCGGCTGGCCGATCATTGAGCATTCATTCTGTAAACCAAAGGATGCTTGCGTCGATTCTTTTTACGACCACAGCGGTGCCAGTTTCATGTTCGCAAAAAGAACGCAGAAAGGACGTCGTCCAGTGTAAAGGGGTTTTAAGAAATGCTAAATATCATTGAAATTTGTCTTGCTTCATTATACTGATTAAGAAGGAAAATATTTTTTTGTGATGTAAATTGCACTTTAAAATCTTTATTTTCAGAGAAATGTGTGTATAATGATTCATACTTTTGAGGTAACTAATTTAACGATTTGTCATTATTTGTGAAATATGTGTCGTATAACATTGGTAACACTGCTCTCCCAAAATTTGTCAATGTGTATCTTTTGTTACCTGTAGCAGAGGGATAGGCCAAAATAACTGGACTCTGTTGTATGGAAATTCCTTCTTCCCTCGTCCTTCTTCCTGGAATATGTAAGGCTTCAAAACCTTAAGAGGATCTGGCACTTCCAGGTCCAAAGTAACAGGTTGTAAACTGGTGTCCCAGAAATGTGCAACAGCCTTCCTTTGGTCGCCGTACCTTAATTCACACAGCACGGCGGTACAACTGAAAAAATCCGTTGGAAGAAGATCTTCCCCAAGGAGAAGATTCAACAGACAACTCTTGCCAGCACCGGTCTCACCTGAAATATATGTGAATGAAATACTACAAATACTGAAATGCTGTCGCAAATAGTCCGATTTATCCGGAAAGCGTTTATGCAAATTCAAATGCATGATCGCGAATTTACACATTCGTGTGCAAATGTAAACAAATGTCAATTGACAGATCGCAGGAGAATGGGCTGGTATACTTAAAAAGCAGAATATCGCAAGTCATGGCACAAGTCAACGAACTGATTTTTTTCATATAGCGTTAATATAGTTAAAACCTAAATTTAAGATGTTTTAGATTAGAAATACATGTACAGTTGTTTCATCATGGCAGGGCTAAGTCTAACTCTCGACTAAGAACTTGAAAATTAAAGGGGCCACTATGGCAGATATTGTTCTGATCAATCATGTTTAAAAGCTTAAAGCCCTCTTTAATCATTCAGATATACCTGCTACAAAAATTCCACTTTCGCTTTTAGAGAGTTCTTCAATGCTTTCACGTAATCTTTCTACCACTCGCGGAATGTTTTGATTTAGGTCATCACGTCTTCTTTCTGGTAAACCAGAAATATACTTAATCGTGCCTTCGTATAATTGCTGTAGCTGTTGTCTTGTCTCTTTATCTTCCTCCAAGGCATCTGCCATTAGTTCAGCGGCCTGAAATGACACAAAAAGCGACCATTTATAAAATTTGACTTCCAGTCAGGTTTTGGATTGAAGTCCACTTTTTAGAAATATTTTGACTACGAACGGCTTCTAAATATCCTTCGTTTGTCTCCTCATTTAGATTTTGTAGTGAATTAAAACTAATATATAGCATATGTTAAGTTGTAGGCCTGATTAAATCTATAAAAAGCGAAGTGAGAACGGATATCATGAATTATTACCTACAGCATTTTAAACTTACATTCAGTGGGTCCTCAGCCACACCTACACCATGTAGTTTCAAGAATTTTCTCAATCTGAGGACTACGTCGTCCTTGTTCTTCACACCAGCATGGTCTATCCCTAACTCTCGTAACTTCCTTATGCCTTCTCTCAAATTGGATATAGCATCTATTTCAGCTAACGAAATTGGGGGTGAGTATGGGCCAGCCATTTTTTCTTTAGGAATACAAAAAAAAAAGAGATAAACATAAAATTTTGTTATCTCTCTCTCTTAAACAAACATGTTCATATATGAAGGAAAGACATTTTTTGGTTTTTCTGACTAATATTCACTTAGGCCTAAAGATGTATTCGCATGATCAGTGATGTTTAAATTTTTTTATATATAATAGATGCATAAATTATATTTAAAAAATATTAAAACACCTCTATCAGTAAAAATATTTTAATAATATTAATAATAATACTTGCAGTACGCGGTAGCCGCACTCGCTATTAGGCACATGATCTTTAACGAGAACACCCTAATGCTAATTATGTGTAAATTTGGCGAAATTTAATGGCCTCGTTTAAAATTAATATACATTTATTTAAATCTGTTGAAATCACTGTGGAACATTAGATTTGAGGGGGTACCTATTATAAATTCTACTTAATTGCATAAAATTTATATATTTTCACCATTATTTTATATTTTTTCGAACGCTTAACCGTGTTAGACACTGTATCTGGAATAAAAAGCATTATTTCTAACAATTTACAGCTGTGAGGTGATCATTTGTAAATAAAAGTACATGGAAATGGGGGTGGGACAACCTTTTTGACCAATGTTGTATATGGGGGCAACAATTAACGAACAAAGCGAGCGCATAAAAGTGCTCGAAGAAAAGTCAGCCCATCTGGCAAATGATCTGCCGGAAAAGGATAGAATAATAAATGATCTGAAAAGCCGTGTCAATTTTTGCTTAGATACCAGTACAACAGGGGTTGAAAATACAGAATTGTCTATTGTCATGATGAGGATGAGGATCTGGAGGATAAAGTGAGTCAGATTTTATTTGCCATAATGACACAAAATTACACAAATTATTGGTTCTAGGAAGAAAATCTAATCTGAAGCAAAGCACCGATCCTAGAATAAGAAGAGCTTACATCAGAGCTAGCAAGTCACACTTGGAGCGGGTGGTGGATAAAAACACGGAGTTTTTACTGAATCATAAGGGGATAGATACTACATCACCGGACACGGGCTTATTAAAGAAACAAGGCAGCAAAGCTGTCAAATGTACAGACCAAAAAAAAAAAAAAAAAAAAAACAACAGAAAATAAAGATGCAAAAAATAGGTCATTTTGTCAATTTTGATGCAATAATAAATAATGCTGTCAATCAACACTGAATTTTAATCATGAACAACAGATAACATGGTTAATAACAGGAGCGAACAGGAGAGATATTTTCTGACAGTATTCCAAATTATCCTTGTTGATCAATCCTCCATTTTTGATGGTCTTCCAACAGAAAAAATAGATACCCGTCAATGTAAACATTAAAATCTGACCGTCTTGCAGAAGGCCCAGAAGATGGTCTCAATCCGCCCCTGCAATAAGATTACAGTTTCAGGACCATGAGAGTTCAAATTCACATAATGAAAATCACAATATTTGAAAAATGATGACAGTGCATAAAATAATATAATGTTTAAAGACATAAATACCAATACAACTGCTTATGTGGAAATACAGAAAATGCGCAGAGGTTCATATGGATGGGAGTTAAAAGTCACATCTTGAAAATGCCAGTGTTTGAAAAAAAATATATATATATATGGGCCATTCCGTGGTATTTGGTCCGCAGACCTCAAAATTTGAAAAAGGAATCCTACTTATAAAACTTATAATTTCTGAAACCAGACACCATAAGACACCAGAATCCAAAAGAAATTTTAGGTTTTGATGATTAATTATGATTTTATTGACACCTTTATCTGGAAAACTTATAAAATAGTGTCATGGAAGGACATTTTTATTTTTGATATATTTTTCATAATAAAGATCATTTTAAACAATAAAGGCTAAATACATTAAATATAACTTATTTCTTACATTTAGTCAAGTGCATTTGATTAAAAAATATTTGTTTATAAAATAATGAATTAATTTATATCAATTTGTCCTTCCGTGACGATTTTGGTACCTATTTTTTAAGTTTTCTCAGTAACTACAAAAGCTAAAAACATAACTTCATATTCTCCTCAACCATGATAGGGGCCAACAAAATATGAAAACTTTTTCGCTTAGAACCACTTCAATAAGAAATTAAATCCAAATATATAAGCATAAAACATGACACCTAGCACAGTGGAAGCACGTATGAGGCATTTTGATTGGACCATAACAGGTCATGTGACCAATAAGCCCTAAGCCTTTACGTCTTTCAAGATAATCTTGAACTTAAAATTCACAATTATTATATATAGAAGCATTCTTAAACTGAGAAACATTTCATTATTATAATTTAGACAATTGATTATATTTATAATTAATAGATTTGGTAAGATTTTCTCTAAAAATGTCCAAATATTATTTAAAGATGATCAGAGCAGATGAGAACTTACATTATAGTCAAAATTAGTAACATGTTTGAAGATGAAATATGTCACCATAGAAGTACATGTTTACCTTTGATATTATTCATCAAACGTATGCTGGTATGTATTCATAAAATATTATTATTGGCCTTATTTTGCATTTTATTTAGCAATGCACAAAACGTCCTTCCGAGACGCGTCCTTCCATGACGCCTACTATTATTTTTTTTCCAAAAAAATAAATTTATACACTGAGAAAGTGAAATAATAAAATATTCTTATTTTGATTTGACTTTAAAAATATCTACACAGACAGAGCAGAATTTAAGTGTTGAAGTTGAAAGTTAAAATTCCATGTCCATTTCATGTCCTTCCGAGACGCTAACTATTTATTATAATTTTTTCGCAACTATAATTTTTTAAACCTAATTTTTACACATTGGTATCAGAGTCATCTCCAGTCCAGCCTCCTAAGAAGAAAAGAAAAGTTTCAAAGACAAAGAAAGTGGCCAAAAAGGTAAGTAGCGTTTGTTAGGCTAGACGGACCTCTGGCAGTAGCTCTTCATTTCTTTCTTTCTTTTTTACTTTTTTTTTTTTTTGGGGGGGGGGGTTAGGGGTTGATAAAATAAAATTTGTCAGTTTCATCGACTGTGGCGTTTTCCACTTTTACAGAGATTTGTGTATTTTTGAGATTCAATTAAATTCAATAGGGCCTTTCCTTATTTTAATAAATCTAAAAATCCAACACACGTTCTTATTGAATGTACTTGATCCACACTCAATCCCTTGTTCTTACAGGCAGCCTTCATGATTGCCCGCGGCAAGGCATGTGAGGAGAGGATAGAACCACAACCAAAACCAGCTAACCAACCCCTGGGGCCGGTTTCACAAAGCAGTAGTTA